AGCCCCCGCTGTGCTACCAGAGCCTGGCGTGTTACACACTCTCCAGCTCTGCTTTAAATAACATTCAGGACCAGCTGAGGCTGAGCCTCCGCACCGCTGTTGCACTGGAGCGCAGCCGGCAGCAGATACTCATGTGCACCTTTTCCGGCTGTTCAGAACACTGCGGGGGAGTCACCAGGAGAAATCCCCAGATTTCCAGCACAGTCCAAGCTCGGGGAACGGGATGTGGAAGGGAAGAAGAGCTTTCCAGATCCGATTCTCCCCTGACAATTTGCTTTTGACAGGGGTTGAAATCATCTTTGGAACAAAATCTGAATTCTATGGGCAGTGAACTCTCTTTCAGCAGAGCTGTACGTGTGGCGGGGGGGGGATGGACGACACGTGTTTCTTCAGGTCTCCCCACCTGCGAGAAATACAGACAGAGGGGTTTTAACACCACTGTGCCCCCATATCCAAAGGGGAAGGTGAAACGATGCCCCAAGGGGAAGTTTGAGAAGGAAACCAAAAGTACCCTACTCCTGTCCAGCCCTTTCCCAGCTCACAGAGCACCCTGTTGAGACCAGAGTCACCCTCTTCTTTCCATGGATGGGGAAACCGAGGCACAGAGCAGTGAGATGACATTGGTCACCACTGCCAGGCTCCGGACTCTCATTCTGGCTCATTATTCACCAGACCACAATCACCCTCTGTTAAACCAGATGTGACCCTGCTTCACATTCTCATCCTCTCTCTGCTTTGCTTTCACTTCCTCCCAAGGCAGGGAAGAGCCAGGACAGCACTCGCCGCTCACCACCTCTTGCTTTATGAGCTGCTGCGTTTGTTTTTTTTTTTTTCCTTTAAGGTAAAAACTAAATTTTAAACTTCCAGGAAAAAAAAAACAACCAAACTCCTCCTCACCTCCGGGCACAAGAGCAGAAGCGAGGAAAGCAGAATGAGAGCGTGGTGCGTTGATGCCTCAAAGCGACGAGGCCCGGCTGTGGCCGGGGCACACCAGCACCGCGTGCGGGGTCCGGGAGGGCGGCTGGGAGCCCCCGGCGGGGGCGTGGGCAGGGCTGCCCGCTGCTCCCTGCAAGCGTCTTACAGCCCCACCAGAACAAAGGCGGCTGGCGTTGCTGTTGACTCACACGACAAGACCATTGTTACAGGATTTTTCTGCATCTGTGTGTCACTTAGAAATTTTTTTTTTTTTTTCTAGAAAATCTGTTCCCCTCCCCTCCACCCCCAATGTGAAAAGGGAATCTGTGCTCAAAGCCGCAGCTGAAATTGCAGATAGACCGTTCCCTTCCTGATCCTTATCTCACCAGGATGTAGGAGGACCCTGGGGGAATAGCTGGAAGCCTTTCGCTGGAGCCATCCAAGAAACGAGCAAGCTGACTACAGCCTTTAAATGGCAAATCCATCGAGTGCTCGGGGATCAGGATCCCAAAAGCTGTTTAACCCCATCGAACTACGACATCCCTGGGTCTGCCACGTCGGAGCCGCCCCAGCACACAGCCCAACCTGCCCCGGGTACGGTCTTCTCCTTGAGCTGCCTTCTCCGCAGAGCTCTGAGGGCATCGGGTAGTTTTGTGGGGCAGCAAATCCACGGCTGAGCTTCCCTTGGGCTGCGAGTGCTCCGGGGGTGGCCCCAGCTCCGAGAGCCCAGGCAGGAGCAGGGGACAGGAGAGCCACCTGGGTGCCATGCAGCAGGATTGGGAGAGAAAGGTGGTGGGGAGCAAAGAGGGGTCTGGTCCTTTCCTCCACCTCGGGCTGGGTCACACCAGCACTTCTGGATGCAGCTCTGAGCTGCAGCTGGGAGCTCTGGACAGCAGGGAAGGACAGGGCTGCCCCGGGTGACCGGAGAGGGCTGGGGGTCGGTGGGTGCTGAAGCTCCCAGTGAGAGCCATGAACCCAGGGCTGATGAAGGCTGTGTCATCCGCCTCAGCATCATCCTCCCACTTGTCCAGAGCCAACTGCTGAGATGCCTGACAGACTCTCTGCCTTCACTCAAGCAATGCCCGCCAGACACCACGCAGGGATGGAAAATGAACCCTGGGCCCCCGTGCAGCCGAGCCTGATCCTTCTTACTCACAGGCCAACTTGAAGGGCCTGCACAAGGTGCTCTACTTCAAATCACAGCTGTTTTTATGAAAAAATATTACCGTACATAGCACCAAAGGTGTCCAAACACTCCAACCACGCTGGCACGTCTAGCAGAAGGATTAAATATTACGGCAGCTTGTCCTTCTGTGTGTACACGTGCGCGCACACAGGGAGAGTAGCAGGGAGAGCAGCCACCCGCAGCGATAGGCAGAGGATTGTTCGCACCAGTGTTCAGAGCTCCGCTGCCTGAGCTCAGCCCCGTGCTTCCCTAAGCCTCTCGGGGAGAGCACAACACGTGCTGACGGGAGAACAACTTGGTAGAGAAGCAAAGGAGGAAGCCCTTCGGTCAGGACCTGGATGCCTGTAAATAAATAGCGAGAAGGGGAGAGCAGAGCTGGTTTCCACACCAAAACTCTCCCTGATCCCACGCTCCGGCCCCATTTGGCTTCGCTGCGCAGGGAGTGTTTAATCACTTTGCAAGCCGTAAAAACCTCCAGCCTGGGGTTTGCTGACGCTGGGGCTGAAGGAGGGCTGTGGGAGAAGAGCCAAGCGCCCATGGAAGGAGGACGTGGGGCTGAAAGGATGGACGCAGGACCCGCAGCCCCCCGGGGAGTCCCTGGGCTGGGGGCGACGCTGCCCTCGTGCGGGGCAGAGCCGGCGGAAGGGCACTGGCTCGTCCCCCGTTGGTGCCAGAGGCGCCGCAGCAGCCCCACAACCTGGTTCTTTCATATTTAGGGCAGGAAACAGATGCTGCCTGGCGGAGGAAACGTCCAAAGAACATAAGCACACCTTGTGCCTTCCCCGGCAGGAGCCCCGTGGGAACAGGGGGTGCAGGTCGGAAACACCCCGGTTCGGCCCCAGCGAGGGCAGGTGCAGCTCAGCTGGGTTCAACGGCATCGCCCGCGGCTGCATCAGCGGGGACGGGGGCCCAAAGGGCTTGTTCCCTTTGGGTCTTTTATTCCTCCGCAGAAGTGGGGCGAGCTGGGGCAGCACCCCACAGCCCAGTCCCCTCCGCTCGCAGCGGCGGAACCCTTGTGCGAGCTGCCCCGAGGGCTGTGCAACGAGCTGATGAGGCATTTCTCGCCTCACCAACAGCCCAGGGAACGTGGGCTCAGCGCACTGTGCCGTCTGGGTACGAAGCAGACCCCTTCCCTCTGCGCCAGCGGGTTTCCAGTGCCAGGTCACACACCTGCACAGGCACACGGACACGGGGTCACTGAAGACGGGCGTTTTTCTGCACACAACTCCGGTCCACAGCTGCTAAAAAGGACAGACAAAAAGAAAACCTACAGCCTGTGCCCTGGCAGCACCAGCAGCATCGCGGGCATCGTTTAGACAGTCTGCCCCTGGGAAAGCACCTGCCTTCTAAGAAAAAGCTGATCCAGTGCTATTAACATTTTACGGGCTGGTGCAAAAAAAACCTTGCGCAAAGGCCGCTCGTTTTCCTGCTGTTCCAAAGCACCTTTCCACAAGTGGGTGCTGCTGCCTCATTCAGCCGGGTCAGAGCATCTTCAGACGGTGAAGCACTCTCCTGCCAGCAGCTGGCCTCTGAGCCAGCGCCCAGGCCTGGGTCCCCTTGACTGCACTTGGCTGTGCTGCTCCTTGTGAAACCAGAAATCGGGCAGCCAGGGTCTGTCTTCTTGTTGCAGCCCATAGTATCTTGGCATTTATGGAGAGGTTTGTGCTGTGGCAGCCCGCCAGAGCATTTCTTTGTAGCTCCACCGATCTGAGAAACAGCTTCCTTAAATAGAGCTGAAAAGACAAAGCAAATACTCTTAAAGGAAGAGCTGTTCGCAGGGGCGAAAGCAGGGCCAAGGGCTCATGTCAGCTCTCCTGTCAGCCTGCGGTTCACGCTCGTGGGCTGCGTGCAAGAGCCTCGCGCTGCGTTTCGTGGTCAGTCTGAGCTCCTGCAGAGGTGGCTCCTGCCCCGGCTCACCCTGCAGCTGCAGAAAGACTTGGGCCAGACCCAGAGAGGCAGCCGGGGTTTGGGAAATGGGTGCCCCAGGAGGGGGAGGAAGACCCCGCATCTTCTCAGGTCACCAGCTGGGACTCGGACCCACGGGGACCTGCTGCTGCCTCCCAGGAGCTGCTGGCTGGTGCCTGGGCTCTGCCCAACCCCACCGCCTGCCCCAGGGCACAGAAATGCTTTTTATTCAGAGCAAAACACCCGCAAGCGTGAGCAACACTAACCTCTCCCCTGCACCCAGCACTCCCCCCTTGAGCTGCCACTCTGCTCCGAACCCCTCACACCTTTGGCCTCGGAAACACAAAGGAGGTTTTTTGCTTTGGGACGTTGTTGGGAACCCGAGCTCAGCATCGCACTGCCCAGAGCTTCGTTAGCTCGGCACAGAAATGCACACGCAGGCGGGGGAAAAAAAAGAAACACGTCCTGGTGCCTGCGCCGTTTCCCCCCACCCCTCGTTGCTCCCACGCCGTCTCAGTGCTGGTATCCAGCTCGGACAGACGGGCGAGCAGGACACAGCTCAGACGGTGCTGGCGCCCAGGTTCGCTCCGTGCTCTGCGCTAGAAACAACCGGCTCCGACTTCTGGAGCGGGATGCAAGTCCTCACGATGGAAGCGTACGTTTCTTTGAACTTCTGCATTTTGAAGGCGTAGACGGCAGGGTTCATGGCTGAGTTGGCATGAGACAGCAGGATGCCCAGGTACATCAGAGGCTGCGGGATGGGGCAGGAGAGGCAGAAGTACAAAATGAAGTTCAGGATGCCCAGAGGCAGCCAGGACACCGCAAACAAGAGGAGGATGAGGGCCAGATGTTTGGCCATTTTGTATTCCTTCCCACAAGCCGTTCCTCCTCCTGGGGGACTTGCTGAGCTCAGGCTTAGTTTTGCCTACATGATGTAGAAAATCTCGGTGTAGAGGACACACATGATGAGCAAGGGAAGGAGGATCCAGGCGAAGAAGCTGAAATACACCACATAATCCATTCTCATCACAGACAAATAGTGACACTCGACGTAGCTGGAGCCGTCAGTGTGCTGGTTCCACCCCAGCATGGGGACCAGCCCCACCAGCACAGACACAAGCCAGCAGAGTCCCAGAATCACACAAACCCTTTTCTTCTTGATGGCTGCCCTGTACCTGGGTGGACTGGAAGCATCAGCCATGTTAGATGCGATTCTTCAGGGAAAAAAAAAACCAACAAAACTACAACAATATTCAGGAACTTGGGCTTTTAAGCAATCATTTCTGGTTGGCCTCATTCAAGTTAAGCACAGTTCTGTGCAGTTGGTCCTCAGCAGCTTCTGACGTTTAAAATGTGTTTTGAAACTACAGGGGAACATCCAAACGGTCACTGACCCCTTTCAAATGAGAACTGACAAATACAGGGTCAAATCCTTTCCTCGGAAATATGGGTTCATTTCGACCTGCATCAGCAGAGCAGTGTGGCACTTCCCAGGGGAAAACCTAAAGACCACCACCTTATGCAGACTTCAGGCATATCCAAATTTATGAGCAACCCTCCCCTGACTCTCTGTAGCTTTTTTCGGGTATTGCTGAATTTCCAGGAGGGCCCAGGCTGCTGGTGCTCCATTGCCTACGCTTGGGGAACCTCTGCCTTTGAGTGAGTTTCTCTCAGAGAACCGACGATGCCCAGGAAGCCCCACGATGCTGCAAGCAAGGGAGAAGGAAAATATAAGGGAGGAGAGAAATGGGGAAGAGATGATGAGACAGGACCTTCACTCAGACTCACCAGGTTGGCAGCTTCACTCTCAGGTACCTGTCGACTGCGACGGCCAGGAGAGACAGGATCGAGGCGTGAGGAAAGATCATCATCAGGCAGCACACAAACAGGCAGGAGCAGAACTGGATGACAACTCCCCAGCTCATCAAGACAGCCAGCGGGATGACAAGAATCCCCACGGCAAGGTCAGCGAGTGCCAGGGAAACGAGGTAAAAGAAGGTGGTCTTCTGCAGAGCTGGGTTCAGCTTCACTGCCCAGATCGCCAAGGCGTTGCCCACTGCTGCAAATATCCCAATAACAGACTCCATCGCAATATAGATCACACTCAGGCTGTCTATGGACATCTTGGACACAAAAGTAAGAAACGTGGCGCTGAATTCTTTTTTTTTCCTCCAACAGCCAGCTCAGAAGCCAGCTCCTCCCTGACCTGCCTTAAATGAAGTCCCTCCTTCAGAGTTTTGCACACCTCCCAACCTGCATACACAACTCCCTAAAGATGAGTAGAGCAAATTGTCGATGAAGGGCCATTTATCAGACCTTCTGTAACAAACCCTGTAACATCTTTCTTTCTGTCTCCTTGGGGTTTCAGTACATTTACATACGCTTTTGTAGAAGAGTCGGAGTCATATAGCGGCAGCATCGTGCTATGAACCAACCACAGGGGCTACCTGTGGCATGTGGCCATCTTGCCAGACTATTTTAGCCACAGGCGCATGCGCTCCCCCCGGCTGGGTGCTCCGTGCTGCCCAGCAGGGTGAATTACCCAGCGCACGGCCCTGCAGCGCTGCGGCTGCGGCGCTCTGCCTCTGAGCTTCTCTAAAGCACGCAGCGTAGGGGTAGCACCACAGAAAACAGGACCAAGGGACCTTGAGTGAGCCAGTCTGCTCCCCTGACACAAAGAAGGGCTGGGGGGGGCGCAGCTCTGAAGGCACTCTGCTGGATTTTGGGCGAGCAAAAGGCAAATGGAGGCAGAAACGCTTTCTTGGGACTCTATTGCACAAGCTGCTCCCCTGAGGTCCCCCGCGGCGCCGAGCTCTTGCCCTCAGGAGCTGCGTTTGCAGCAGGGGCGGGTGGGCCCTGCCAAAGCCCCCGTCACTCAGGTCCGCAGCCTCTGCAAGCGGCATCTGGCTGCAGCCGCAGGAGCAGACAACGGAAGGAAGGAGCTGGCAGCTGTGGTCAAGGGAGGGAAGTGGGGAGCTCGTACCCAAGCAAAAAAAAGCTGCCAAGTGCCGGCTGCCCGCTCCTTCCCAGGTACTTCCCGGAGAAGTAACTCCTTCGGCTTACAAAAGCCTAGCACGCACCCCCGCTGTGACGTTCCCGTGCCTCTCCCGGGACTTGTCTCCTGCACCCACAGATTCCCTGTGTCAGATTTCATCAGAAAACCAGCACAGCCAAGTTCGGTTGCAGACTGGGACTGCCTACAGGCAGCTCACCATCTCCCCAGCGGCGACTGCACCAAAACGCCCTCCAGTCAGGGAGCAAGCAGCTCTCACATGGATTTCAAGGAAGCAGAATTTGTCCAGCTCTTTTGGCAGCAGAGAATAAAGAAGTCTCATTTATTTCTGGCTCTGTCTTCTCCCGCAGCTGATTTCACTTCCCCATCCTCAGTTTTGCCAGAAAGTTGGGTGGAAGAGACGGAGGAGTCAGTGTCCAGGGAACCAGACGCTGCCCGCGGTTCCACAAGGCTTCGTTACACTAACGTGGCACCATCCGCCCGGTCGTTTCCTTGCTCTTTGCTCGTTCCTGAAGAGTCTGCATCTCTGTTCGCCCAAGAGCCAGGCTACCCCGCCACTCGCAGGCTGACACGAGCTCACGTGTTCACTTCTCTTCTCAGTTTCATCTGAAATGGGAGCAGCTCTTTCACCGCAGACCCACGCCTGGGAGCAAGGCGCTGCGCTGCCAGGCTCACCCGCAGCAAGCGGATCGCAGCTTTCACTCCCTCTCCCCGCTGCTTCCCATCACTTCCCACACCTCTCCTCAGTTTCTCCGTCTCCCACCAACAAAGCATAGGAAAGTATGCCACCCTCTGAACACAACCTGGTCGGTCGCCACACTGATTTCTTGCAGAAATGAGGGCTCTCACTGAAAACCTCACCTGCATTACGAGTGTTCTTGTCAGACTGAGAAAGGTCCAAGTAAAGAATCAAGTATTGGAACTTAACAAAACACCCTGCTAACGTGCCCTGAGCTGCCTCATTTCCTATAGTTACAGCAGAGTGATTATCTAGAGCGATATCTGGCAGCTTTGCACAGTCAGCTCTGGTTACAGTTCTCGCATTTCTAAAGCTGTGGCTTGGAAGAGGAAGCAGTTAAAGTATTGTTTTCAGGTTGCCAGTAAGCAGGCTTGGGGAAACTTCCAATTTTCCCTTCAAAATAGCTTTCCAAAGTTCGTTTACGGATACCAGGCTGCTGAAGGGATGCTGTGAGCTTCAGGAGGTGTGTCCAGAGCGGGGAACGTTTCCTGGATGCTGAGGTATTCGATGCTCTGTAGAAAGGCAACAGCCAATTTGCTGCCAAAGTGCCAAGGATGTGAAATACGGGAACGGATCTGCACGCCAGAGTGTCACTGGAACAACTGAGCACCGTACACCAAGGATGAATCCCACACATGGTCATTGATGCCCATGCTCCCTTCTGTAGCTCAAGCCAGGGCGGGAGCATCTCCAGCAGCTCGCCATGCCAAACGACAGCCTGGCGCTGAGCAGCCTGGATGGGATTTACATCAGTACCGAGTGCTTGGTTGCTTTGTTCTCCACTTTGGGCAACATCCTGGTCATCTGGGTGGTGAAGCTGAACTCGACGTTCCAGAACATGACCCTGTACTTCATCGTTTCCCTGGCACTGGCTGATATCGCGGTGGGGATCCTCGTCGTACCCCTGGCCATCGTGGTGAGCCTGGGCATCAGCGTCCCCTTCTACACCTGCCTGTTCATGTGCTGCCTGATGGTGGTTTTCACCACCGCCTCCATCCTCTCCCTCCTGGCCATCGCCATCGACAGGTACCTGCGAGTGAAGCTGCCAACCAGGTGAGCGCTCGACCACCGCCGGCCCCTCCGCACGCCCCGCTCCTGCCGCCTTTCCCATGCCCAGCCGCTGCCCCAGGGGTGCCACCTCCTCCTCCATCCTCCTCAACTTGGCCCTTCTCTAGGAACTATTTACTCCAAACGCCCGCTTGCACACGGAGAAGGTACCTGTGCCTCAAACCCGCTGAGACGAGCTTTCTACAGCAGGAACGGCTGCCTACAGTTCATAATGCAGCCCGGGCAGCCCCCGGGGCGTCCGTGGGGGGCCGAGAGCTCGGTGTTACTGCTGACCACAGCTCGGTCACAGGATGAGTCTGTGGTCAAACTGCTGAGGTCTTCAGATGGCTTGTTATTTCCGCAGGATGGTGAGAGTACTGTAGAGTTCTTTGGGTTTCTGAGGTCAGTCTTTTAAATAAAATTCCTTTTAGTGCTTAGTGCTGAAAATACAAAAGAAATAAGAGGCTTATTAAGGGCTAACTTAACAAGTCATTTACTTTTTAATATTTGAATGGAACAGTATGTAAGCTAGAAACTCAAAGCATAACCTCAAGCATGAAAGAAGTAATATTTTTTTATGGGGAAAGGACCTATAAAATTGAAGAATGAAAGAACAGTTGGGTCCTGCAAATGACATAAACCAAGTGTAAAGAGAAAGGTACACCCAAGGAAGCCTAGAAGTAAGATAGGACTGCTAATAGTAGAAAAGCAGTATCTAGGCGAGAGGAGCACTAAGATCATAATGAAACAAGAAACAAAATAGCTGAAAACATCCGATTGTAAAGAGGGGAAGTTAAGCATAGTTCTTACGGGTGCTGCGAAGTAGCCATTACAAATGAAGAGTTAGGGTTTGTCTCAAAATAAGATTTGGTTCCCCTCTGCCCCCCCTCCAAAATGTTACCGCCCCATTTTGCAACAATGAACCTCTACTATTTGAACACGTGAATTCTTGAAGCCATCCTTATCTGTTTCAAACGCTTCTGTTTTCTTCCCCAACAGATACAAAATAATCACTACAGAGAGAAGAGTTTGGTGGGCACTGGGTTTGTGCTGGTCTGTGTCCCTGCTGGTAGGATTCGTCCCCATGTTTGGATGGAACAAGGCAGACCCAAGAAACTCCGACTTTCTCAGGTGTCGATTTACCTCTGTGATGCGGATGGATTACATGGTGTACTTCGGCTTCTTCATATGGACCCTCGTCCCCCTGCTCATCATGTGCGCTCTGTACGTTGAAATCTTTTACATCATCCGGACCAAGCTGAGTCAAGGTACAACCAACGCGAGAGGGGCAGGAGGTTTTTACGGACAGGAGTTCAAGACAGCCAAATCTCTGGCACTTGTTCTCTTCCTGTTTGCGCTGTCCTGGTTGCCTCTGTGCATTATGAACTGCGTTTCCTACTTCTACCCTGAGAGTCAGATCCCCCCGTATTTGATGTACTTGGGAATCCTGTTATCCCATGCCAACTCCGCCATGAACCCCATTGTCTATGCGTGCAAAATAAAGAAGTTCAAGAACACGTACCTTTTAATTTTAAGGACCTACATCCTGTGCAAAAAACCAGACCCAGTCCTTAAGGAGCAAACAACAGACCAACCGTCATAAAGAAGGAAAGCTGACCTGCAGCATGCCTCAGGCCCCTGACAAACCACTTTGCCTTGTTAAGAAACTCATGGGAGAACGCGTGCTCTGTTTCAGCTACTCCTACTCTTGACAAACTGCTTTACAATAAGGGCCGGTTCCTCTCACTCAAGCTGATGTGCATTTGACCTTAAGCCCGAAAGGATCCTTTATCATCGTCTGCATTATTGCACCCCCGAGAATTCTGTTCGGTGGTCGCAGCACCAAGCCCAGATCTGCCAGGCAAGAACCTCATCTCACAGGACCTTCCAGTTTTTATTTATTGGCTGGAGCACTATTTGGCAGACCAGCGACCCAGAGCACTGTTAACGAGGCAGACTTTTTACTCCTAGCTCCCCAGCTTGGATCCATGACTAGCTGGTAAAAACCAGTGCTTGCACTTTCCTAGTTCTAACTCAAGGCTGAGAAGTCTGTTATAATTTTGATTTCTCTTTTTGCCCAGTTATAGGCCCTCTGCTCACACACAGCCAGACTTGCCCTGACTTTTTTTTTTAGTCCAGTGGCACCAGGCAAATAAAACTACAGCATCTCCTGCGACCCTTCCACCTGCAGAGGACCTGCGTTGTGAAGTTACCCTCACCGCTGCCAAAGGTCCTGCTGCTGACCATCTCAGCTGGAAGGCCAGAAGCTGCACTGACTTTGCTGACCTTCCTCCTCTTTGGGGGAGCTCCTGCCAGTGGGAGAC